GCACATCAGAAGTCAGATTAGAAATCTTTTCTCAAGGCCCAGAATGTAGCATATTCCTTCATTATAATATCTGCTAAGATAATATATGAATATAGATAGTTTTACATTTTGAGAATTTACAAAGTTTTGATATTTTTGCATTTGAACAAAAATGTATTGAGCCCTTTGTTGATGGAGTTAGTAAGACAGAGATGATAGAGCACCAGCCGTGCTTTGCAAAGCTTGCAGTCTGGATGGGGACAGAAATAGACACACACACAAAAAAGTATGGTACAATGTAAATGATATTACAAATGTGTATGTAAGATTCAGTAACAGCACAGAGAAGGGAGTGACTAACTTTGGAAGGCAGTGGGAAATGTTTTACAGACACAAGCTCTGAGTTAGGCTTTGAATGGTAAAAAGGAGTTCTTCAATAGCTCTTGTGCCCTGATCCATTTGATAAATTTAGTAGCATACCCAACACATGCCAATCTCTATGTTAAGTACTGGGGTTGAAATAAATACATAAGATAGAGACCGTGACCTCTCAGATCTCATAGACTAGTCAAGAGGTAAACAAAGAATTATATTACAGTGTATTAAAAGCAATAGTCATTGGGTGAACCCAAGACAGCCATAAGAAATGCTATATTAAGGTGTGGACTTGGCATTTTTCCTCTGTGTTTGTAGTGCTTCTTTTCAGCAAGTATTTATGAGTCATCCTGATAGCATTAGGATACCAACAAGAAAATTACTATTTACAAAAGAATTAATGAGAGGGAAATTATATTTTTTTAAAAAACCTGGTGGAAACCTAGCTATCAGCATCTTCTTAATAAAAATTACTGAAGACCTGCCAGACACTAGGCACTATATTGATATGTGAGCATACAAGAGAGAGAAATACCAAGTGGCTATAAAATCAAGGGGTTAATAGCATGGGTGACGAAGTCAGTCTGACTGGGGTCAAATCCCAGTTTCCCAATTGATTAGCTATAAAATCTCAGATTGGTTGTTCAACCTCTCTGCAAAAAGTAAATTATAAATAACTCTGGTTGTTGTGATATTTAAACCAACAAAACAGATATAAGGTTTAACCTAGTCCCTGGCACATGGTGTGTGCTCAATAAAAGTATTATCAGTGAAAAAAAAGATGATGATGATGAATAGATGCTGAACTTGAAAAAACTTGGAATGAGTTTGGACTTTTCATCCTCTGGGTAATAGGACACTAAAAGTTTTGTTGTTGTTTTTAAAATTATAGTTTATATTCAATATTATTTTGTATTCATTTCAGTTGTATAGCATAGCAGTTAGATAATCATATACTTGACCAGTGTTGTCCCTGATATTATATTTCCAGTACCCAATGGGCACTATGAATAGTAATTGCTATATTAATGACTATATTCCCCTTATGCTATACTTTACATCCCCATGATTTTGTAACTTCCAATTTGTGCTTCTCAATCCCTCCACCTTTTTCACCCAGTCTCCAACCTCCCCTCCTAATGGCAACCATCAGTCTATTGTCTATAATATCTATGAGTCTGTTTCTGTTTATATTGTTTTTTAGATTCTGCATATAAGTAAAATCATGTGGTATCTGTTTTTTCTGATTTATTTCACTTAGCATAATAACCTCTAGGTCCAGTCATGTTTTGCCAATGGTAGATTTCATATTTTTTTAGTGGTTGAGTACTATTCCATCGTATACAGCTGAAAGGTTTTCATCGAGCAGTGACATAATCAGATTCATTTTTTAAAATACTTTTATTTAAACTCTTCAAATATACACAAAGCAAAACATAACATACATTTACAGGTAACACTCAAGAGTCCACACTTATCTAGATTTTTCCACATTTGCTTCATCTATTAATATTTTCTTTGGGATTTTTTTTGTTTGTTTTTTAACAATAACATATCCCTAATTCAACTTCTCTATTTTCTGCAATTTCTAAAGGATCACTGCTTCCTTTTAGTGGGAAGGTATTGAGAGGCCACAATCTGGCTTCTAGGCTTACTCATTGTCTCTGGGTTGCTATTGTTTCTAGGCCTTTTTAGTGAACAGTCAGTTCACTAAACATCACCCATGCCATTAACTCCTTGATTTTATGGCCACTTGGTATTTCTCTCTCTTGTATGCTCACATAACAGCAATTATTTTTGAAAAATAATTATGAGTTCATATTGATATTTGCAATTCAATTGAGGTTATATGCTAAGTGAGATAAATCAGACAGAGAAAGACAAATACTGTATGATATCACTTATCTGTGGAACCCAAAAAGCTAAACTTGTGAAAACAGAGTAGTATGGTGATTACCTGGGGCTGAGGGTGAGAGAATTGGGGAGGTGTTGCTTAAGGGTACAAACTTGCAACAACTAAGTAAGTTGAGGTCGTCACATAGTGATTAAAGTCAACAATACTGTATTACAAACTTCAAAGTTGTTAAGAGACTATATTTTTTATTGTTTTCCATACAAGAAATGATAATTATATGCTTTTAGAGGTTCAGTGCATGAAATTCATGCACGGGGGTGGGGGGTGGCCCTCAGCCCAGCCTGCACTCTCTCCAATCTGGGACCCCTCAAGGGATGTCTTACTGCCCGTTTAGGCCTGATCAAACATTCCTCTCATAATCCAGAACTGCTGGCTCCCAACTGCTCACCTGCCTGCTTTCCTGATTGCCCCTAACCGTTTCTGCCTGCCAGCCTGATCACCCCCTAACCACTCCCCTGCCAGCCTGATTGATACCTAACTGCTCCCCTGCCAGCCTGTTTGCCCCTAACTTCCCTTCCCTGCAGACCTGGTCCCCCCCCAACTGCCCTTCCCTGCAGGCCTGATTGCCCCCAACTTTCCTCCTCTGCAGGCTTGATCACCCCCAACTGCCCTCCCTTACAGGTCTGGTCCCTGTCAACTGCCCTCCCCTGCTGGCCACTTGTGGCAGCCATCTTGTGTCCACATGGGGGCAGCCATCTTATATGTTGGAGTGATGGTCAATTTGCATATTATTCTTTTATTAGATAGGATGATAAAGGTGCTAGCTAATAGTACTGTAGTAATCATATTATTGCATTATATAAATCAAACAGCACATTGTACACCTCAAACTTACACAATATTAGATGTCATTTACTTCTCAACTTTTTTTAAAATTCAAGCTTTTTATTAACTTCTAATATAATAGTTGTATTATTTTATTTTGCTGAAAATCTCTGACCTCACAATATTAATATGATTACTTATTTGCTTTATCCTACAATATACCCTATTTCCAAAATAAAATCAATATTGCTATAATTATACTATACTTATACTATATTTATATGAGTGATATTATATTTATGTTACTTATAAACATTATGATATTTTTATATGAAAATATTACTATATATTATAACAATATATTATTATATTTACAACATAAAAATTATCATTTTATAGGTCAAAAGTGGTCAAATATAGGCAACTTCATATGGCTCAACTTAATACTAACAATTATTGGGTCGGCAGCTAAGTAATTGCGGATTTTTTAAAGAAAATCAAAGACAATTTTTTCATGGAACTAAATAACTTTATTCTGTAATGTATTGCCCATTTTGATCAATGACCTTTTGCCATCTTTCAGGCAGCATCATAATCCCACGTTCAAAAAACTTCTGGTTTTTATTAGCAAAAAACTGAATCAGGTACGATTTGACATCACCATCATTATTGAAATTTTTACCATTCAAGGAGTTTTGTAAAGATCGAAACAAAAAGTAATCAGATGGTGCAAGGTCAGGACTATATGGTGGATGTGGCAAAACATCCCAACCAAGCTCCATTAATTTTTGCCAAGTGACCAAAGATGTGTGTGGCCTTGCAGTGTCATGATGGAATACAACACCTTTTCGATTTGTCAATTCGGGCCGCTTTTCTTCAACTGCATTGTTTAATTTCGTTAGTTGTTCAATGTAGACATCAGAATTGATCGTTCGGTTGGGTGGTAAGAGTTCAAAGTAGACAATTCCTTTGTAATCCCACCAAACTGATAACAAAACCTTCTTTTGATGAATATCAGCTTTTGATGTTGTTTGAGTTGGTTCACCTGGCCTGCTCCACGATCTTTTCCACTTGATATTGTTGTAAACAACCCATTTTTCATCGCCAGTTATCAGTCGTTTTAAAAATGGATCATTTTCATTACGTTTCTTTAGCAAATCACAGCTGCTAATGCGTTGCGTTAACTGTGATTCTTTCTGTTCGTGAGGAACTCATGTATCGAGTTTTTGAACATAGCCAAGTTGTTTTAAGTGATTTTCAATGCATGTATGTGATACATGAAGCTTCTCTGCAATCTCACGTGTTGTACTGTGACAGTCGGAATTGATTATTGCTTTGATTAGGGCGTCATCAACTTCAACTGGACGACCAGAGCGTTTTTCATCTTTGAGTGAAAAATCACCAGAACGAAATTTGGCAAACCAATTTTGACACTGCCGTTCTTTTAAGGCTTCGTCACCATAAACAGCACATAACTTTTTATGAGCTTGCGATGCATTTTTCCCTTTGCGGAAATAAAAAAGCAAAATATGACCAAAATGTTCCTTTTGATTTTCCATTTTTCAACGAACGCCAAACGAAAACTACAAAACAGATCAAAAAACTTTTTTTACTGATTAACAGCTGAATAGCCAACTATCAAATAACAAAATGTGTTTTACATTTGTACTACGTCTGCAAACCTAAAAATTCAACTGAAGCCATATATGTGTGAAACCCGCAATTACTTAGCTGCCGACCCAATAGATTACTGAATGGCATCTAATGCTTGCAACTATTTTTTTGTTCTTTAAATATATTTCACAAGAATGTAAAGTCAGAATACTTTTTATGAAAGTTACTCAAAATAATTATTTCTTGGTGTATTTAATGTTACCAATTTGAGGAACAATTTTTCTAAATTAAATTTATTGTAGTAACACTGGTTAATAACATTATATAAGTTTCAGGTGTACAATTCTATAAAATAAATATCAAATGCTTCATGAATTTGAGTGTCCTCCTTGTACAGGGCCCATGCTTACCATCTTGGTATTGCTCCAATTTTAGTATATGCGATAGGGAACACCAGTTGTGTATTTTTTACATTTCAATTTTTAGAACTCGCTTATTTTATTTTACTTTTACACAATGTTATTATTTTATTTCAAAGTCAAGATTTATAAGAGGACATATTCAGAGAAGTTTTACCACAACCCTTGTTCTCCACTGTGTAATTCCTCCCCTATTACTTTTATTAGTTTTTGGTTTATCTTCCCAGAGTTTTCCTCTACAAATATAAGAAAATAGTCTGCACATATGTGAGTGTGTGTATCTATGTGGTTTCCCTTTCTTACACAAAAATTATATATACTGTTCTGCATCTCGCTTTTTTCTCATGAGAGTTTCAGATCAGCATTTTAAAAAGACCAGTGGTCTCCTGTAGGGAGAAAAGACTGGAAATAGACATTCCTACTGGAAGCAGGGAGACCACTGCAGTTGTCTAAACAAGGCTGCTGGGGTGGCTAGGACAAGGGTAGTGGTAGTGGCATTGGAGAGAAGCAGACAGGTTTGAGTTTAAAGGGTCAGGATTGGAAATACACAACTTAATTTTGAAGTTTAAAGGGTCAGGACTAGAAATTTGTTTTATAAGGGGTACCCACAGCTTTTTGCAAAAAATCCAGGCCATCCTCCTGGTCACTTGTATATTTCCAGTGGGATGAAAGTTCCTATGGAATAGAAGACTGGATCATATCCACACTGTTTTATTTTCTTAATTTATTATAGAAAATTTCAAACATACATAGTCTGAAAGACTATAATGAACTCCCAACACACTCATTACAGAGGTGCATCAATTATCAACCTAAAGCCTACCTAATGTTATCTCTACTCCCAACCACTCGAATCCATCAGCCATTCCCACCCCACCGCCCAAGATTATTGGGACACAAATCCTGGATATCCTGTCATTTTGTCTGTCTGTTTAGTATTTTCCAGCACCTTGGAGAGACATTGTTATCCGAATCCCACTGTCCCTTTTCCCAGTGCCTGCCACTCTGCTAACTGACTCACTGAAGTTCACTCCTTTAGTGTGAGGCTTTGATCCCTTTAAAAATTCAACACAGCTTGTGTTTCACAGAGATACCTAATGTACTGTTTGACTTAAAAATAGAATCATTCAGTTTGCCGGAAGGTAGTGATGGAGGAAAAGGTCAGGTGTAATGGGGACTGATTCATCCTCAAACACTCCTTGGAGCCCGACTTTCCCGTGAAAACACTGCAGTGTGGCTGGCACTAGAAAGCCCTAGCTGAGTGCCCTGTGCCTACAGGGCAGAGAAGCAGGTATACCTCATTCACCTGATGCCAACCAGGTAGCCTCTCTTTCTTAACTTCTAGAGTTGTGACTCAAAGATAACTTTCTACTGATGCCCCTAAACACGTGGGCTGCGTGGTGTCACAGACTATATACTTGTTTAAGTGGAAGGCTCTTTGCCTCACTTGGAGTTTCATTGTGATTACTTGCAGCTGGAAGCCATCCTGTCTTACCTCCACATCAATACCTGCTTTATTACACAAGCTGTGCCTGCAGGAGTTACCAGGCAATGCTCACTTACTGGCAATTTTCTTAACTTCCCTTAGGATTCCATTTTCCCACCACTAAAATAGAGTTCATTTTACTACCAACTATTCAAGTAAACACAGTACTTAAAGACACCTAGCACTATGCCTCAGACATGCTGTTGTTACTGTATCTAATGTATGTATCTTGTGGGTATCAGTTGAGTCTTCCACATTTACCCCATATTCTGAGTGAACCTTCTTTGCTATCCATTGGATTATGATTATTATTATTAGTGGCAGTAGAATTGTCTGACCAAGGAAAGATTCTTAATCATTATAAGCTCAATATCTTCATATGTAAAATAAAATGTTAACATTTTCTATAAAATGATGTTTGGATTAATCCAAAAAATGGGGGCGAAAGTGGCCAACTCTGACCCAGGCACATACTGGTAGTAAGTGCTCAACAAAGACTCAGGTGATTGTAAAAGCCTAGGCTGGGTCCCTGATTCCCGAGGACATCTCTCAGGGACTCTTGACAAGGTCCATCTCCTCAAGGTGAAGCGATTTAGGTGTCATCCCTCAGGTGGACAGAGAGAAACAAGAGAAGTTGTTCCTGCCAATCTAACAGAGCTATGAACAGTAGGTTTCTTTCCATGGGAACTATTTGAGCCCATAAGCGGGTTTACCTCCAAACAAAAAGTTACTTGAACAAACCTGAATATTTTAATAAATTTACAGAGTTCTAAGGCATCTTAAAATGAGCTTGTTCCATGATTTATCAATTCCTTCCATGTTAACTACCATAGTCAATTAATCATTTATCTTGTCCTGGAGCTAGGAACTCAATCCATTTTAGGTAGGCTATGAATACAGTTCTAGGACTCAGTAGCCTTTGTGCTACTAAACTGAATTGAATAGGCCCCCAGGGATAAGGGGGTGGGAAAGAGACAGCACCATAGTGGAAAAAGTGGTTTTAATTTTAACTTTTATTTTGTATTAACCATTTTCCCACACTGCTTTGTAAATCACAGTGAAAAAAAAAAAAAAAAAGAAAAAAAAAAGAACAAAGCAATAAAAGCAAAGTATATTCAAATGAAGCCCCAGAGTGTAACATAGTGGTAGGAGATGGTGCCGTTGGAGGTTTATTTCTTTTAATGCTTAATTTGCTTATGATTTTGAAATTTCGGCAGGCAGAAGAAAACCTGTTTGAATTGTTTAAACAGTAGTTTCTAATTTTTTTAAAAAATCAATACAAAAAAAGCACATCCAAAGCTCTCCTCTTCCTCTAGGATACCATCCTTGATGGCCTTACCCATTTTGTAAGTAACAAGCAAGGATATTCTAAGGTTTGTTTAGGACTGCTGTATTCATCCATCTCTGTGCACAGTGGAGTTGCATCATGTGCACATTGAACTCTGTGAATTCAACTGCTTACATTTGGCAAAAGAGGAGGGAGATTGCAAGGATTCAGAGGTGTGAGTCAGTCCACTGGCCATTCCACTTACCCTGAGCCATTGTTAATTGGCTCCAGGGGCTATTCTAACTGCAGAAGTGTTTCTGCAGGCCAAGTATGAGTTTTAATGCTGAAAAATAGAATTTTTTTATAGTATGATCTTGAAGCATCTTTCTTTAGTATCAAAAATAAGAAGCAACTAGAGAGAAGTGTAATGCACTTTCCCATGATAGTTATAAGCTATGTGCATCAACATTAAACCAACCCCCACAAAAGATGTGACTCTACTGCATACCAGATGTGGGAGACACAATCAGGGTGGCTGCCCATATCACAGCAGTTTCCTCTGTGGCGTCTTCTGTCCTATCTCCCATGGCTGAGTGATGCTGGGCAAAGACATCTGGCCCAAAACACAAGGATCAGGTTCTCCCAACCAGGAACCTGGGACCTAAGCAGAGAGATGCAGACAGAGACGTCTGTGCAGCAGCTCCAGGGACTCACAGGGCTGAGATCCCCAAAACTTCTCTCTTGAAATCCTAATTATTTGGCAACTCTTATGATTCTGTGTTTTCCTAATATCTTTAAGGAAGTTTGCCAGGGTTGCTTTTTGTGTTTGCAGTGAAGGAACCTTAATTAATAAACCAAGTTATCATCCCATTAAGTTAAAAGCTTCTTGGAATTAGAACTGAGTTACTAGTAAGAGCTAAAGGGCCCAAAAGGTACCTGCTGCACAGACAGCTCTACATGGTACAAAAGGAAGATGCCAAAAAGCAGAACCCAGTAGTTCAATGCCCGAGGCTGGTGTTTCCCAGAGTGGATTCCATAGAACCCCATTCTAGCAAGATTATTCCTAATGAAAAGTTTCCATGGTCAAATAAGTTAGAGGAATGCAGTATACTCTATTCTCACCTAGACAGTCATCAAGCCCTTCAGGTTTACTTAAAAGCACTACAAAAAAAGACATAATTTTCTAAACCAGAATTTTTAAAAACATATCAAATAACGTGTAATCTTCCCCACCTCCATCCATCTATACCCTCTCTCACCCCAACTCCTATTAACACATTTTTTGGGAAGCATTAATAGAGGCTATGTGCAGCTAATCTGTAGTGAAACATTTCCTGGGAGCTTTGACTTTACCCTTACACCTCTGGTCAAAATATTTGAGCCTTCTGTCATTCCTCAGGTGTTTACCAGGACTATAATGTGCCCAGCCCTGTGCTGGTTGTTCTAGGGGCATCCATAGTATGAAGGGAGGAGCCCTGTAGGAGGAACAAGAAGACCTAGTTAGAGTCCCAGCTCTGATGTGTAACTGAGAACTGGCTTTGTTCCTTTAGGCAAGCCCTTAACTTCTTTCTGAATCAATATCCTTATTTTTCAAATGGAGCTAGTAATACTGACCTCACCTCACCACTGAATTGTTAAAAATACCTAATAGGATAATGGATGTGAGAGCATTGTGTAGGCTGCAAGGCATTAAATGGATGTAAGCTATTAGAAGGAATAGATAACTTGAGAATGATGTTAGATATGAGAGGGAGAGATCGCAGGCTTATACTTGTGATTTTCGGTTTTAATAAATGTTTTAATGTCACATTAAAACATTAGGTGTGTCAAGATAATTTGCTAATATACTAAAATATGAATTTTCATTTGTATGTGTATCAGTTATTTTGCATAACAAACCACCCCCCAAACTCAGTAGTATTAGTATACAATAATCAATATTTATTTTTCGTTCATGTTTCTGAAGATTGGCTGGGGTTCAGCTGATCTGGGCTATACCTGGCTAGGTTTGGCTCTACTGTGAGTTGGTCCAGATCTGCCCGCCCTATATGTCTTTTTTCCTCCTTGAACACTTGGCTATGATGATGACAGAGCACAAAAGGACATACCCAACTGCGCAAGCATATTTCACGCCCTAGCTTGATCAGACCCATTAACATTCCATTGGACAAAGAAAGTCACATGCCCAGTTCACACCCACAAGGAATTACTTCAGAAAGGATTATTTTGTAGGTGAGTGTTTGGGAGGAAATAGAAATACTTGAAGACAGAAACTCTTCCTG